ATGAAATTGAATTTCTTTTCTTAAAATATTATCAAGCATCTCCTATTAAAGTCAAATTTGTAATTTACTTATAAAAGATCTTAAAAACTAATATATATCGGGAATGCTAATATACTTCTACCTATTTTTTTAGTAGGAGTATGTTAGCAACCTACACTAAAATTTTAGGGGACAAAAAAATTATTCATTTATTTTGATTTTGTTAATTTGTATAAAGGATATTATAGTAATTTAATTTAATTTTAAATAAAAATAAAATATTTTTTTTCTCTTATTAACTTCATTCTCTAAGTCATTCATCTCTCCTATTAAATTCATTCTCCAACTCATTTTTCTTTCCTATTAAATTATTTTTCTAACATATTTATATCTCTCTTATTAAATTCTTTCTTTAACTCATTTCTCTCTCATCTCTCATGATGTCTCTCCCATTTCTCTCTAAACAAATAAAAATTAATTAATAGAAAAAAATAAATGAATTGGAGAATGAAATTAATAAGAAAGAGAGAAAATATTTTATTTTTATTTAAAATTGAATTAAATTACTATAATATTCTTTGTACGAATTAACTAAATCAAAATAAATGAATGATTTTTTTGTCCTAAAATTTTGGTGTAGGTTGCTAATATACTCCCACTAAAAAATAGGTGGGAGTATATTAGCATTCTCATATATATATATATATATATATATTGCCATATATATTTTTTGTAACAAAGGAAAATTAAAAGGTTTATCATATTGTTTAATCACAAATTTAATATGTATAATAAATTAATCAATTTTATAATAAGTACTTTAAAATTATATTTATGTATTTTTAATTAATTATTCCAAACAAATAATACGTAGAAATTAAACTCAAAGGAAAGTTTGCTATAAAAGAAACAAATTGAAATATATAGATTTTATTTATATTATGATGGATGATCTTATCAAAATTCCAACTCATCCCTGACTCAGCCTCCTGAGTTGTATTGCGAAACATAAACACTAAACATTTTGCGACATGCGCGCATTTTATTGTCCCAAGTGGACGGTGCCAGAAATACTGCATTTTGGAACACAATAAATGTTAATTCAGAAACCAAACACCAAAATCCAAAACACACTTCCAAATTCCAGACACAAACTGAGCTTGAGCCTTTCAAAAAGGGATCAAATTTGCACACGCAACCTTTGATTCCTTTCCCACCATGGTGGCAGATTCTAAGTCCAAATCCGACCTCTCCTTCTCCAAAACCTTTGCCAGCAGTTCTTTCTCTTCATTTTTCGCTGAGGTAATCTGTCTGTTGCTTCTTCTTTTTCATTTTTCCTTTCTGGGGATTCTCTCTTTTTTCATGATCTTACGAAAGACCCATCTTTTATGTTGATCTGATTTCCCCTCTCACTTTGCTGCCTTTCATTGTTCTCAGTGTCTTTTCCTTTGTTGTGTAACATTAACAAACCGTGGTTGGTGCTAGTGTACTAATTTAAGACACAAAGCCGATCCGGTGCTCCTATGTTTGATTTCTGCAGTGTTAAAATAATGTATACAAAAGTCATGTTCTGGAAATGTTCTGTAAACACAAATTAGTATTTGATCATCAGCTTTTGGATATTGCATGTATTATGTCTATAGACAAAAAAAGAGTACTAACTTGGATGATCAAGTCAATGTTTTTGTGGGAATCAGAGTTCAGTTGAATGTGTCTGAGTATGGTCTAACTTAGTTTAGTGATATATAATTTTCGAATGGGTAATGGTTTTCAATTTTCAATTTGTGTCTACCAGTATTTGGGTGATATAGTTTGCTAGCATTGTTTTGGATTTTGTAAAATTGGTTTTCGGTTAAGAGTGAGTTTGAAGTGATTTGTTTTCGAAATTTTCATCTCAGAATAAGTTTGTGTTATTAACTCAATGCTGAGTTTGTGTTTTGGTGAGAATCTCGTTAGACATCACCAAATGTGGATTTAGATGTCTCCCTCCACTGCTGAGCCGAACACAGGATCAGTCTTTGTTAGATGTATAGGAATCTTTTGCTTATGTGATATGATTTTGTTTTTTTGTCTAAAAAGAGCTTATAAAATAAGTGATCTTCGTAAAATTCAGAGATGGGCTGAACAAACAAAAAAATAACTTCTTTCTTTGCCTGAGTTTATCTCCTTCTGTTAATACTTAATAATAGTCTTTGTTAGTCAATGGTGGTCACAGTGGATTTTGACTGCTTTGACATGATGAAATGTATGCATTGCATGCTGTTTGTTTTTCAAGGATCAACATTTGATGACTTGTATATGCCCTGACAAAATGTTCGAAATAGGTATGTACTATTCCTTTGGACACTGCCAAAGTTAGGCTTCAACTTCAAAAACAAGCTGTAGCTGGTGATGTAGTCTCCTTACCTAAATATAAGGGTATGCTGGGAACAGTGGCAACCATTGCTAGAGAAGAAGGTCTTTCAGCTCTCTGGAAGGGCATTGTGCCAGGGTTACATCGTCAATGTTTGTATGGAGGTTTAAGAATTGGGTTATATGAGCCAGTGAGTTTTGAATCTTGTTGCTGAATATAGTTCATTTGTTTTAGTTTATATATACTGTTTGATTGTTATCTTATGTTGTACATCACGTGTTGTTAACAGGTTAAGACTTTCTATGTGGGAAAGGACCATGTTGGAGATGTTCCATTGTCGAAGAAAATTCTTGCTGCATTTACAACTGGTAAAGCCCAATGCTGGAAATATTGGGAATAATTTGTATATTTGTTATTATATGAATTTATTTTCTAATCTATGAATATTTACTTTTTCTTGGTAGGAACTTGTGTTATTCCTATCTAAATACTCATCGCAATTACTCAATTATGAACTCCTTCAATTTGTATTGTCAACAGGTGCTGTGGCAATTGCAGTGGCAAATCCAACTGATCTGGTCAAAGTTAGACTTCAGGCAGAAGGGAAATTACCACCTGGTGTTCCCAGACGCTACTCTGGATCTTTAAATGCTTATTCAACAATTGTGAGACAGGTATGTGCAACCCAATATAGTTTATTGAAGAGAAAAATGTATTTGGTTCATTTTCGTTGTGATTATTTTTATTCTAACCTACATCTAACACACAGGAAGGAGTTCGGGCTCTTTGGACTGGGCTTGGCCCCAATATAGCAAGAAATGCTATCATCAATGCTGCTGAATTAGCCAGCTATGATCAAGTGAAGCAGGTAATTTAAAAGTGTCTTGAGGCCTAGCAGTGTGGATCAAACTTTTCTCCTTTATATTTTGCAAATAATTATGTTGTTTTATGCAGACTATTTTGAAAATTCCAGGATTCACTGACAATGTTGTTACTCATCTCCTTGCTGGTCTTGGGGCAGGGTTTTTTGCTGTCTGTATTGGCTCCCCAGTTGATGTGGTAATGTTTTAGCATTTACTAAAGAATAACCATTGTTGATTTGACTTTTTTATTTTTTATTGCCTCACTGTTTTATATATAGTGTGTTAATAGTTGTTTCAATTTGAAATGAATTTTGCACTTGATATTCCCTGTTCCACCACGACGAATTTAAGAATCCCAGGATGATTAGAAATTGGTAGAATTAGTATACTTTTAAAGCTTATTAAGAATTTGTTGACATATGATCTTGTTTAGGTCCATTGCGGTGGATGTGTGTAATTTCTTACGCCATTTTTATTTGGTTGCCAGTTGATAAAGTGAGCTTTCCACTAATTTTGTTGTTCTATCTTCATTCTGGTGTATATGCAGGTTAAATCGAGAATGATGGGAGATTCTAGTTACAAGAGCACTCTTGATTGTTTTATCAAAACATTAAAGAATGATGTAAGTTACTTTCCACTGTTACCGTTTTGTTCTCGTAAGATCATATACCATCATTTTGCTTTAGCCACAAGTTACAATCATTAAGTGCGTGGATTCTGTCATTTCATAGCTATCGTGAATAAAATTCTTTGCAGCATTTGATCACATCTAAGTAATTGTAAGCAGTGGGTATAATCCGCAAAAGTGGCCGGCTGAACAAACCTACTTTTGTCACTTCTAGTTATTTGACATATATTTATACATTTTCATTTCTTACCCCACCTTATATGCACCCAAATCAAATTGACTTGCTTCATTATAGGGTGTAACATAATCTTCCTTCTTTTTTTTTTTTTTTTTTTTTTTTTTTTTTTTTTTTTCCTATCTTTTCCTTTTCTTTTGCGTCATTATATTTGTCTGTGTAAGGACGTATATACACCTATACCGAAACTGATTTGTTAATGTTTTATATGTTTTTTTTTTCAGGGACCCTTTGCTTTTTATAAAGGGTTCCTCCCAAACTTTGGACGGCTGGGATCTTGGAATGTGATCATGTTTCTAACCTTAGAACAGGTATAATTTGAACACACTGCAGCATGTATTCTTTTCTTGCCTGCACTCCCAAAAACTCATTTAACTTCTAATTGTTGAATTTGTGGTTACTTGCTCACTTGTATTTTTTTTTATGACAGACTAAAAAGTTCGTCAAAAGTTTAGAGTCGTCCTGAGTTCTGTTTTCTTGAGATTTTTTAAGGGGATTGGTTGCAACTGCAAATGTAGCGGAACTTGTGGGAAATAAAGGTCCCTATCTCTCTTCATTCTACTAACCTGGATGGAGTCAAACACCTTTTTAGGGAGAAGAAAATGAAAGTAAACCGAGAATGTTATTCAAATATACTAGCTTTTAGCAATTGCCAAATCTTCTGTAGGATTGAATGCTGTTTCCATGCAATTCTCTTCAAATTTTATATGAACCGAGCTTGGACATGCGATTCTTTTCAAATTTAGAGGGATTCATGCCTCAAACCAATCATTATAAATTTAAACACACCTTTGCCCTTGATCAAGACCAAATGTGTTATAATGGTGGCTATTGTAGTTGTATCAAAGTTCACACAATTGGTGCATGAACTTTTGTTGATTGTTTGCAAGACAAAAACTTAATTAAAATTTGTTTGGCTAATGGAAATTGGTTAGTGTCTTTGAATAAACTTCTTTATAAATAATTATAAGAGAATACATGAAGGAAAAATGAAACCAAACCAAAATTAGTTTATGCATAAACTAATTTTTAGAGATTTTTTCATACTAATTTTTAAATTTTGCATAAGTTAATTTTAACTAATGAAAAAATAATTTCATTCTTCTTTAATATTTTTTCTTCTATAAACGTTTGAAAAAGTTTATCTAAACATGCTCATTTTGAAAACATGCCATTTGAAAATGAATATAATTTCTACTCTCAACTACAAGTGGTCAATAACAAGTGTACGGGGAACAAGCATGACTAAATGTTTGTGAATACTCTATCACATTTACATATTAGAAAAAACATCATATTCGTAATTGTTATCTGTCATTGTTTCATGAATGTTGGCCAGAATAGTTACTTTTAAATCAATCCTTGGCTCTTCTTTAAAAACGATTCCACATAAACAAGTAATGTCTCAAAAACAGGATTGATATTGATAATATTTTTATTTTTATTATTATAAATTAGGAAAAAAATATTATTTTATAATGAATATTGTATAAATAGTGATTATTGTCATTTAGAAATATTACACGCAGCATTCCAAATCAGGTATAAACCTTTATAAAGCTGTGTTTTCATTCTGTTGCCGTTAGCAATCTTTAAACTGTATTGTGTGCAAGCGGATAAGTAATATATTTTCTTGAATCTTCAAACAAAGACCACAAGTCCAACTTAAAATTACATATTAACAAGGTACAAATACGAAAAAATGAGAAAGAATATTTCTAATTTAATTTTGAAATTTATATCATGATTACCATAAATTGTACCACTCATTAAAATATCAACTTTGAAAATTGAAACCTTATTTATTTTGTGCGTGCTTACCGTAATATTTTTACATCACCATTTAATCAATGATAAATTTGTTAACTTTTATCATAATTATATTAAAAATCATATTAACGATTTTTAATTGATTAATAATATAAAAAATTTATAGTGATGGAGCTTAATAATTAAATTCTTTCTTCTACTCAGTAGAATGATTGATATGGTAATAATTTCCAAAGGAGTTAATGTATCTGTTACCAAAACTCTGTTGGCTGCCTTTACAACTGAATTGCGGAGCCACCAGGAGGATCAGTAAAGAAGTTTTGATCTTTCACACTTTTGTACAAGTTATTCATACACCCAAGAGAAAAGTTTCCATCCAAGAGCTTTCGAATTAATAGATTCAACTGGCATAGTGAGAAAGTTGAATAGAAAATCAACAAAATCTCCCTCAACTTTGCTGTATCGTTTTCTTCGATTTTCTCACTGTTATACACGAGGTTTATACAGGAATTGTAACTTATCCAACCTTGATTCTCTGTTCTAAGTATTGGTGAGAAAGTGCATACTTACTTAGATTCTCCATTTCCTACGAATACATCCCTGAGAGGAGATTTGGAGGTTCCATAACTCCAAAATCTATTTGAAGAAAAAAGGTACAAGCACAACATTCATCAAATACCGAATTTTCATGGACTTAGAATCATCTGAAGTGTCCAATATACGTTGAAAGACTGAGTGAAGAATCAAATGTTTGAGAATGAGATTTTAACCATTTTATAGTTTGTCGTCCTCATGCCTGTAATTTATTATATCTTTAATCACTCATAGAATAGGCAGCCCTCAACTTTTTCTACAATTTTCTTTAGCACTTGTTTAGCAGATCTTTCACATGCACAAACTTACTATCCATTTAAGGGACCAACCTCTTTCAAAAGATGTTTTCATAAACACGAATTCAAAATTCAAATCTCTAATTATATACAAGGGACAAAATTATTTGTCAATTTTGAATATGCCATTCCATTCCTAGTGGGTTATTATTGGTGTTGGTTAGCTTAGAATATTGGAAACTGGAAACTGGAAAGATAGGAAGGAAATTAGGGATAAGTTTCCATTGTGAGTCGTCATTATTAGGACAAGATCTATTTTTGTTGTTTTGCAAGAAGAGAAAGAAAAAACCTTACTTTTTTGCACAAGACTTGAAACTCAGAGCTACACTCAACTTTCTGGTTTGTTTCCATGAATAAGGTCATGACAAAATTGAACAGAATGATAAAGATACCTAATTCCATTCTAATAAATGGTAAGGGTAGTCAAGAAATTTGGTACTTGACCCCTAACTAAATAAGACATGAAAAATTCATCTTATATTTGTTTTGACATTCACGATGAATCCTTCAAACCTCCTTGTCTCTTGTCTAGATCCAACGGACTTGCCAAAATGAAGCCTGAAATGTAAAGGTGATTAAGTTCCTCTTGTGAAAATTTGACTTTTGTTTCTATAGATGAAACTACTCCCTCCACTTTGATCGAAAGAATCAAAAGCTTTGTGAATTGATGATTCCCTTTCTTCAAGTTCATTATTGTGAACAATGATATCAAGATGAGAACAAACAGTATAGTGTAATGGAATTCACTGCCTATACAGTATACATAATATGGTCTCCCACAGACCATTAACTTTTTTGTTCCCTGCAACAAATATTCAAGAAAAGGGAAAATCTCTGAATGTGCAGCAATAAAAAATTTATAACAAGCAATAGTTCGAGGCAAGGAATCATTTTTTTAATTATGTGTCAGCATACCTGAGTGAGATTTCCGATAGGAGCTGTAACCATGAGTAGGATGGTATCATCCCTGCCAATTTGAAAAACGCCCTGGGTCAAAGCAAATATTTCATGCATTGACATGAGAAACTTATGAAAATATTAAAACAACAAAGCAAATTCAGTAATTCACATATTTTCTTTTGAATTAATGACAATCATTTGCTTGTATTTCCACGTCAGGAGTATAGGAAGTGACACTCAATATTTTCCTAGTCAAAGAAACACAACACATAAGTTTATTAAAAGCATAAAGAATAGAAGCTTACCCTCCATTGCTTGAGATACTAGGTTATAATAGTTAACTACGTTCAAGAATCTTTGGTGTTAATAATAGGTGGATCTAGAACAATTTTATATAGATCCTCATAGAACAAGTAGCTGACTTGATAGTTATTACCTATTCCAGTTAGACATAAGGCCTGTATGCTCAGGGAGTTGTTGGTGCTTGCTCCGGGCAGCCATGGATCAATCTTTTCTTTGTTCCTCTTTCTTCTTATTTGGAACATTTTGCCATCATTAATCCTTCCCTCGTTTCCTCTTCCTTTTGCTCAGAAATATCAGCTTTACACACAAACACATCAACTTTCAGTGTTTTGCTCAACAATTTTCCTGATAATATTATTTTCCATAATGTATTAGTTGTATAAATATGCATCTACTATTGCAAATTTTCTTCAAAGCTTATGTTTTGAAGCATCTCAAGCATGTAATTAAACACTGAACTACAATTTTGGTGCAAATAATGGCAAGTTTTTTAAAAATAGATTTTGCCAAAAAGATAGAATGTGTGGACATTTCTTGTTTTATTGCAACATATTCAACTTTGCAAACAATTTTCAGTACATTAATGCATTTCTCAATTGAAGTGGGATGGACACATTCCATATATATGAGATTCGGTTTCCATCCTGCGAACACAAACAAAATATGTAGAAACTTTTATATCTATTTTAGGAATCAGTGGTAAAGTACGGATATTTGTCGAGACATAAATCAGAACATTGCTTAATATATACTTACTTTTTTGCTACCATAAAATTGTATAATGTTTGTCTAGCAGGTTAGAAGTTGTGTCTCCTGAGAAGGGGAAAAAATATAAGCAGAATATGGCATTTGAATAGCATGAAAAGAAAGATTCATGATCATGAATTAATTATACTTGGGCTGCTGTAGTGGAGTTTCACCCCTGGAATGTATTTGATTTCCATAATATTTGTGGTTTAGTAGTCAATTAAAATGGTAAAGATCAAAGACCATACCCATCATGCATCCTTCATACTTCTTGAGTTCTTGTTTCTAATCAAAATAACTTGCTAGGACTAACAAATAATATATTATGTCTGTATTACTTATATTAGTCTGTATAAATATGTTAAAAAGTGTCTTATAATGTGAATATAAAACTCAAATTTACACAATGTAGGAAGTTAATAAGAGCCACCTGGCAGCCAATCAGTTTAATTTTGATAATTCTGTTTTAATTTTGATAATTCTGTTAGGATTTCCAAAATTTACGTTATTGTTTTAGTTAGTTGGTGCAATGCACCTCTATAAATAATTAGCTCTAAATCAAGCTTAGGGGTTTTTTTTTTTTTTTTCTTCTGAAATTCTTCTTGAAATCTTCTCTCAATTCAATATACAATTCTTCGGATTCATCTTTTGAAATCCCTAAAGTTCGTAAGTTCTTTGAATAATCTCTATTCCTAGAACTATCGTCATCAGTGGTATCAGCTTGGACCTTCCATCGGCAGTTATGGCAGAAGCAACTCGTCTGCAAACAACGATGCGTGAACAAGAGGAGAGGTTGGAAAACAAGATCGTATCGAAACTCGAAATGCGCATAATTGAGATTACATCTTCAATTCGGCAAGCAATTGATGCATCAGTGGATCAGCGAATCTTGGAAACTTTACAGAAGAACACAGATTCAGATAGTGATGCTACAAGACGAGGTACTATTCGCAGAGGAGCACGTCATTCGAATTCCAATTATTCTTGTGGAACGCGTTTGGCGTGAATCGATTTTCCGCGCTTTGGCGGTGATGCAATTCAAGAGTGGATTTATCAATGTGAAACGTATTTCGCGATTGACAGCACTCCTGAGGATTTTCGAGTGAAATTGGTTGTAATTCACTTTGAAGGGAAGCCACTACAGTGGCATACTTCCTTTGTTAAAACTCTTCCAGGAGGTAATCTTCCTAATTGGACTGAATTTACAAACATACTAATAGATCGCTTTGGTGAAATAGATGACGATCCAATGTCGGAACTTACGAAATTAAGGCAGAAAGGATTTGTGGTGGAGTACCATGATCAATTTGATGTAATAACTTCTAGATTAAACCTAAGTGATACACACTTGTTAAGCTGTTTTTTAGGAGGCTTAAAAAAAGATATTCAAATGACAGTCAAAATGTTTCAGCCCAAAGATTTAAGAAAGGCATTCCAGTTGGCTAAATTGTATGAATCAGCTTCTAGATCAAACATCCCGACCAAAACCCCTCCTAAATTCCAGAATACACAAACTAATACAAAAGTCATTTTACCTACACCTAAACCTATATACAAGCCTACTGATTCACAGATTACCCTAAACACAAACCAAAGACAACCTACTAAGAAACTCACACCTGCTTTTATGACTGAGAGGTTTGTTATTTTTGTGATGAACCATATAGCTCTACACATGTGTGTCAACTTGAGATTCATGTTCTAGAGGTGAGTGATACTGAGGAGGAAATACAAAAAATTTCATTCTCCAATGTATTAATAATATAATATTCATTATCTAACACATGAAGTTCCCTTTTATTTTTGATTTGTTGAATAACAAACTGAAAATAACTGAAATTACAGGCCAGATTATATAAGCAGTCGAGATACAGAAACTTCTGGCTCACATTTTGCTGATATCTGTTGTGTATGACTCACAGAATCAAATTAATTTTGAAATGAAAAATTGATGTAGTATATACACTACTAAATCTACAGAGAATCAACACATTATCAAAGGCAACATGTGGGATCTTCTAAAATGAATTGAGCAAAGAATGTTGCTTATGGCCTTCTAGCTTGGAAGAAGAAATAACAATATACTTATTAAGTATGAAACATAGATAAGCTCTTCAATATAATGATTCCCTGAAAAAATGTTACTCGTCAATGTCAATGTATTTTATAAGGTTATTTCATACACAATTCCACAATAATGAGATATTGTCTGCTCTCACGGTTTTATTTTTGGTTATCAAACAAAAAGTCTCTCAATCATTGGAATATGTGTGTACTTTATACTGATACCACTGATGGATTTTTTATATGATATTTGCCTAAGGGATATTTTATAAGATTATTTCACATAAAATTCTACAATGATAAGATATTGTCCGCTTTGGGCCTAAGTCATGACGGTTTTGCTTTTCGATATCACCCAAAAGGCCTCTCACAGTTTTGGAGTATGTGTCTACTTTATAAACTGTTATTTTTTCTTTTATTTTATTGATGTGAGACTTGTTTGTATTCCAACAATCACTCATTGGTGGTTGATTCTTTTTATTACACTGTCTACCAGTACTGTAGTGTAATTCTGTGTACTTTGTTCAATGTACTATTATTCAGTTGACTGAGATCAGAGTGAAATTCAAGACTGTGGGAAGCTGATTTTTGTTTTTTATATATGATAGATTAGCTTGGAGAAACTGCACCTTCCCATGGATCTGAAATCAACTTTAAACAAGAGCTAAACGTAATGGAGCTTTTTATGTAACTGACATGACAGTGACATTTTCTCAATGGGTTAGTTTTTAATTGGAAGACTTTTCACTGGGTACAACACGAAGGATGAAATGTCAGTCCAGCTACATAGGATGATTTCAGCTTACCTCTTTTTACCAGTCTTTCAGGTGTGCTTGTCAGGTATATACAGACAGATAATTAAAAAATGCTGCATACCCTTTAGTGGCTAGCCATTTCAAATTCTCTGCCCATCATATCTGAGGTTTTTCCTTTTCCATTAATATTGTGTTGTAGGAAAAATTAATATATTGCTCTGTGGGGGGGAGGTTGTCACTTATATGTTTGACGCAAGGATGAATTTAGGTGGAGGAATGTTTTTGAAAGATATATCACAATATGTGGATGTTGGATTTCTCATTCTTCTTTAATCCCTAAATTTCTACAAGGTTGGTCAATGTTTGAAATGCCTGATGTGGCCAATACATGTTTAGAATGGAATACATTACACATTACTGATTTGCACTTGACGCGAATGTTATGAATGGGAAAAAACAAGAAGAAAGAAAGGATACATTCAAAGGTTTTTTATGCACATGGTCAAAGTGTGGAAGGGTTCCATGATGTTACTTAGAGACAAATAGCAAACTTCCATAAGAAAAAGCTTGACCACATGTGGTACAGGATTTTCATTGTACGGAGTGAGTTTTGGTTAGTCATTTTGAATCCAAACAAGGATTCGAGAAGTTTGAAGTATGCTTGATGAATGATGGGTAAGGGCTTTGATCTTTACTATCTTAATGGAACTAGTACATCACATATATTTTTAGAAGTCAAATAAATTTCAAGGATGAAAGTCCACTACACTAGCTTGAGTCTTATTTATCCGTGATCATTAAATTTCATACTATTCAAATATAATTTTCTTATTTTTCTCTTTTCTCCTCAGGAAACACTAATTCTAACTAGCTGGACATTCCAATGTTTTACAACTTTATGCTAGCAAAACGGTAAGCATTAACCAATGTTCTGATTTATGACTTGGCAAACATATATAGTTTACCATTTATTCTTAAAACAATTATAAATATTTCTATAAAAAAAAATTGTGTATTGCAGGATGAAGACTGAATGTCCCATACATGGAATGTGTCCATAATGCTTCAATTTAGAAACACATTAATGTACTGATTCTTTAACAATATTTTTGTAATTGATTACAATCAGTCTGCTGGAATAAAACCAGACATCTGAGATTTAATTCGTAACCCTTAGGCCTTTAGCCACGACTTGGCCAGCTGGAATAGGTAATGACTATTAAGATCACCAATACGTTAAAGCTTCTTATTCTATGAGCATTCTTCTAAAATTGATAAAGATTTAGATCTTCCTATTAATACCAATGATCCATGAACCAACTTAACAATCAAACATTAGATTATTTGAAATAATAAAAAGTAGGTGTATAATTACTGTTGCTGTCTTGTATCTCAAGGGAAATTGCCAAAATATAGCTTCAACAGAGAGAGAAAAAATAAGACAATGTAGTTTTCTTCTTAATCTTATATTTTATTTTTCCTCCCATCCCTTACGTCAATTATGTAACCTATGTGAATCTTGTATGATTTAAAACACAAAAATAACAATAACAATTGACAGAAAATAGTAAAAAAGGGTTATAGGTAGGAGATTGTAGTCTATCTAAGAAGGAAAGTCCTAATTTCAATGCATCAAGCTTATCGTTCTCTATGCTGATTCAGGCGATTAGCTTTGTTCTTACTCTTATATGTTTCTTATTTTTCTTTAGATTAGGCTCAGAGTTCTGTGTTTTATTAATTTGAAAAGGAGTTGGTCTGTATAAATATATCCTATCTATGAGGTGCATGTTTGTTTTGCTTATGAGCATCAGAATGAAGCTTGATCCTGAAGTTAATGTCCATATCCTAATCTCTTTTAAATTTTGATCCGATCCTGAGAAGAGTGCTTTGTTTGTTTTAAGCTGCAATATAGAATTGGTGCCTAAGCTTCAAGTGTTCATGCATTAAACCAACTTTGTTTCTACTTCTTTCACTTTAAGAAAATATAGGTGTGTATGTCACTTCCTATCTCCTTACGTGGGGAATACAGCCAATAAACTGTCATTGATTCAAAACAAAAGCTGTAAATTACTAAGTTTGCGTTGGTTGTTATCATATTTTCATAAATTGCTCGTGTCAATGCATGCAGTGTTTGCTTTCACCCAGGGCTTTGTTCAAATTGACAGTGTCAGGGATGATCCCAGCCTATTTCTGGTTACACTTAAAGCTCCTATTGACCATATCACCCAGGTATGCTGATACATAGTTGAAAAATGTTGCCATGCCTCTAACTACTGCTTGTTATAACTTCTCTGCTACTAACATTTGAAGTTTTAGTTTTTTGCTGAATACTGTGCAGCAGGAAACAACCAATTTACTGTGTCATGTGCATCCCTAATGTGTAAAGGGTGTGACTTCCATTACACTGCACTGTTTGCTCCGAGTCTTGACACCAGTGATTAAAATGAGAATGAACTGGAAGAAAGGGAATCAACAATTCGCATAGCTCTTGATGCTTAAGATCATAGAGGAGGTGGTGGTTTCATCATTGTATAGAGTTCATTATGGCAAGTCATTTTGGATCTAGATAAGCCAAGGTGGTTGACAGATTCATTGGGATTGGTGAGATTGCTCTATCAGATCTAAATTGCAATCAAGTACATTCTTGGGGTGAAACTCCAACACAAAGACCCAGGCTCACAATTTTGAGAGTTTGGTTTTCTGCAACAGGAAATGTAAAAATCATTGGTCAGGAATGTCAAAACAAAGAAGAGATGATTTTTCATGTTTTACTTGGTGTTGTGCAACAAGGCACTTAGTTAGGGGTCAATTGTCTAAATTTTCTTCACTACCTTTACCATTTAATAGTGTGGAATAAGGTATCTTTATCACTCTCTTCAATTTTGTCATGACCTTGTTCATGGAAACAAATCGGAAAGTTGAGTGTAGCTCAGAGTTTCAATTCTTATGAAAAAAGTAAGGTCTCTTTTTCTCTTCACACATAACAAAAAGTGATAATGTTCTAATAATGATGGCTAACAATGGAAACTTCTTCCAATTTTCCTTCCTCTTCTTTAAGTTTCCATATTCTAACTACTAGCCCAACACCATTAATAATAACCCACTAGGAACTAGATGGCATATCCAAAACTGTTACAAAAATTAGAAAACTGAAAAGCTATGTATTTATTACCAATTTGGTGCAGCAAGAGTCATTTCGTTATTATATATTTTCTCTTCCTCCAGCGAAAGCAACAGAGATATCACTCTTTGTACTAAACCTGCTAATTTGTTCCTTAGTTTTTCTATGATTTTGTCTGTATGGCTTCCAAGCAAGAACACAATCTCTCTTTGAGGCTTTTGGTGAACAAAGAAACTGTGGTTCAATCTGAAGCAAGTGGAGACTTGATAGACATTTTGTTCAATTTTCTCATCCTTCCATTGGACAACTATCATATTTTGTCAAAGAAGCAGGAGCACGATTAAGCAAAAGAAATTGGTTGCATTTACATATGGTGTTTTTGTTAAGGAGCGAACCATGTACTTGATCTTTGATGATATAAGGGTGCTACAAAGCTCTCCTAGTAATTCAGTTCAGAAACTTGTCCTACTTGGCTACAAAAATTTCCACAAGCTGACAGAAAAATCCCTAAATGTTGGTGATGAAAAAGAAATACAGAATGATAGGAAGAGTGGAGAGCAAGACAAGTACTTAGTGGGCATTCAATTTTTCAATCACGTTTTTTTTCATATCAGTAAGCTACAAATACAACATCTTCTGATATTACAAGCTTACGATTCAAAATGAATGCATTGTTGACTTAGTTGTACTACCCACTTTTGCCTACTGCATATTTATCAAAAACATACTCCAAATCACTTATTTTTCACCTAAAACAGATTGTTGTCAAAGAAGTACATACAACAGATTTTGTATTCAAAAAATCAAGAAAATTCTCAAAGTCTAACACTCCTCCTTGAGATTTTTCTTGAGCACTCCAAGTCTTGATCTTAGTATTTCAAATTGACCATTGGAGAGGGCTTTGGTCATGATATCTACAATCTGTTCCTCAGAGCTGCAATGCTCCAACCTGATTTCTTTTGATTTCTCTACTTCTCTAATGGCATGAAACTTCACATTAATGTGCTTTGTTATTCCATGTTGGACAGGATTTTTAGCAATAGAAATAGCATATTTGTTATCCACCCAAATGATAGTAGCTTCATCTTGAATCTGCCCCACATCTAATAAAATCTTTCTCAACCAAATAGCCTGATTGGCAGCAGTTGTAGTTGAAATATACTTAGCTTCAACTAATGATTGGGCCACAACATTCTGTTTCTTTGAATTCCAAGAAAAAATAAAACTGTCAAATGAAAACACATATTCAGAGGTGCTTTTAGAATCATCAATACTTTCTGCCCAATCATTATTTACATATCCTTGAAGTTCTCCACTTTCATTTTTTAAGAAATACAAACCATAATCAGTTGTACTTCTTATATATCTCAAAAATCTTTTTGCTGCACCAAAGTGGACTAGACTTGGAGAATGCATGAATCTGGAAAGCAAATTTGCAGCAAACATTAAATATGGTTTGGTTACTGTAAGATACAACAAACTTCCAATTATACTTCTATAAACAAAAGCATCTGCACTATTTTCACCATCATTCTTTGAAAAATTTTCATTTACAACCAATGGAGTAGTAACAGGCTTGCATTTACCCATGTGAAACTTCTTCAATATCTCCAAAGCATATTTTCTTTGTGAAATGAATATTCCATCATTTTGCTGAGAAATCTCCATTCCAAGAAAGTATTTCATTTCACCCAAGTTAGTCATTTCAAATTCTTTCATCATGTCCTTCTTAAATTGGTTTAAGGAATTTGATTCATTTCCTATAACTAATAAATCATCAACATACAAAGACACAATAAGTTGCACTTCATTGTTTGACTTCTTCACATACAAGGTGGCTTCATTTTCACTTCTTTGAAATTCTTTTTGCAGAAGATAACCATCAATTCTACTATACCAGGCTCTTGGTGCTTGTTTTAATCCATAAAGAGCTTTATGAAGCTTATAAACTTTATCTTCACTTCCTGGAACCTGAAAACCTTCAAGTTGATCAACATATGTCTTCATCAAGCAATCCATTTAGAAAAGCTAATTTTACATCAAAATGATAAATTTTCCAGCCAAGCTTTGCTGCCAAAGAGATCAGTAATCTGATTGTATCATATCTTGCAACAGGTGCAAAAGTATCAGAAAAATCAACTCCATATTGTTGGAAGTAACCTTTTACCACTAATCTAGCCTTAAGTTTGTTTACAGAACTATCAGGATTGAGTTTAGTTCTATAGACCCACTTAACACCAATCACTTTTTTATTACCTGGCCTATCAACAAGTTCCCAAGTTTTATTTTTCTCAATCATCTTTATCTCCTCCTTCATGGCAGCTCTCCAACTTTCAAATTTAGTAGCTTCTTCATACCTTGTAGGCTCCAATGCAGCAACATTACATCTTGCATAAATATCCTTCAAGGTTCTTGTACTTCTCACTGGAAATTCAGTGTCACTATCATAGTTCTCTTCATCATCTTCAGAATCTTGCTCTTGTAGAGTGTCTTCATCAAATAGCCCTTTATTTAAGCCTTCTACTTGATGTTTCTTCCAATTCCATTTTGAAAACTCATCAAATTTTATATCTCTGCTAATAATAATTTTTTTTGTCTCCAAGTTGCATGCTCGATATCCTTTGGAGTTAATACTGTACCCCCAAAAAATACTAAATTCACACTTATGATCAAGTTTATCTCTTTTCAAATCTGGAACATGAGTGTAACACGCACAACCAAATATTTTTAAATGCTCCAATGAAGGCTTCCTTCCACACCATGCTTCATAGGGTGTTTTACCTTTCAATGCTTTGATAGGCAATAAATTCAGTAAGTAAACTGAGGTATTTACCGCCTCAGCCCAAAAGGTCTTAGGAAGATCCTTCTCAAAGAGCAAACACTGAGTCATCTCCATCATTGTTCAGTTCTTTCTTTCACTCACTCCATTTTGTTGAGGAATGTAAGACACAGTGAATTAATGTTGTATTCCAGCTTGATCACAAAACTTTTTAAATTCTCGTATTGTGTATACTTAGTTCCATTGTCAGATCTAAGTTTTTTAATTTGATAACTAGCTTCATTCTCAATCTAAATCTTAAACTTCTAAAATGCAGCAAACACATGATTTTTGTTTTAGAAAAAACACCCAACTCATTCCTGTAAAATTATCTATAAATAGTAAAAAAATATTTTCTACCATTTAAAGATGCTATGCTCATTGGACCACACACACCAGTATGGATAAGTAGTAATTTTTCAATAGCTCTCCAGCTTGCTACTATAGGGAATGACAGTCTACATTGTTTTCCAAATTGACATGCATCACAAACATCAACATCATCTTTTATGGAAGGTAAGTTTTGAATTAAGCCATTTGAGTTGATTTGCTTCAAGGTGGAGTAACTAAAATAACCAAGTCTTTTGTGCCATAAAACATAATCATCTACTGAACTTGGAAATGCATGCATAATAGGTTGCTTCCATTATATAGGAAAACTCTTATCTCTCATTTTGATAGACATTAGCTCACACCTAGAAGGATCAAATATGGTGTTTAAAATGCAAAGTATAATTCTTTTCAAGCATTTGTCCCAAACTTAGAAGATTTTGATTTATCTCAAGTACGTATAAAACATCTTAAATATATTTAGTACATGAAGAAGTTTCTACAACAATAACTCCTTTGCCTTTAACTTCAACACTTTCTCCATTGCCAACTGTGACTTTTGAGAAGTGAGACTGATCCAACTACTTGAAAATACTTGCATCATTAGTCATGTGATTTGTGCATCCACTATTTATAAGCCACACCTCCTTGCTCCTATTTGCTAAATAAAAAGAAGCAACAAATAAATGTTCTTTATTTTGTTCTTCATGCTCAAAAACTTGGGCTTGTTGTCCGTATTGCTTTGCTTTGCTTTTGCACACTTTCTCCACATGACCAAGTTGGTTGCATGCTCTGCATTTGACTCCTGGTCTAAATCAACAAAAATTTTCTTTATGATTCTTCTTCTTATAGTAAGAGCGAGGTGGATACTTGTCTTTCCAATTTCCTCCTCTGTTGCTTTCTTGTTTTTTTTTCTTTTCCTTTCTTCCTACTAAATGGTTTTTTTCCCACAACTACTGCTGCCTTAAAATTTGCCTTTGGTATTAACCACAAAAGCACCTTCAACATTTTCTTTCATCCTCAAGGATCTTCTTTGTTCAGTGGCTTGTAGAGCATTTACAAGTTTTGAAATTGATATATGAGAATAATCCTTATTTTCTTCGAGAGAATAGATTTTTGACTCAAACCTCTCCGGAAGACATACTAATATTTTCTCCACAACTCGTTGATCACTAAGCTCTTCACCCAATAATTTGATTTGTGTAACCACTTTAGAAAGCTTGTCAACAAACTCCTTCATTGTTTCAGCATCCTTCATTTTGATAGATTCAAATTCTCTTCTCAAATTTAGCACCTTCATCCTCCTTTTTCTTTCACTACCTTGGAACTCCTCCTTGAGTTTGTCCCAAGCCTCTTTTGTTGTATCAAGATTCAAAATCTTGATAAAAACATCGTTATGAACAGCCGCTTGTATGATAGCAAGTGCTCTAGCTTCTTTAGCCACTTCATCACTGTGAAATCTTACTTGAGCCATTGTTGGGTTGTCTAGTAAAGGAGCTAGGTTGGTTCCATTTTCCACCCACTACAAGAATGTTTCAATTTAGAGTCGGCCAAAAGGCGACTTTAAATCATAAAAGCCGACGTAATGTTGTCGGTTATTCGTCGGTTTTTGGCCGACGCTAAATAAGTCGACACAATTTTTTTTGTGTCGGCTAAGCCGTCACTAACAAATTTATTTATTTTAATTTTTTATTGTCGGTTAAGCCGACA